TGCTTCTCTCCTTGATGAGTTTCCACCCGTTGCTTCTTGTCCTGCCCTCAGGTGCTTTGGAGAATAGCTTGACTCCCTCTTCTTTGGGGCAGCCCCTGAGATACTGGAACACTGCCATCATGTCTCCCCTGGTCCTTCTTTTCATTAAACTAGACATATCCAGTTCCTGCAACCATTCTTCATATGTTTTAGCCTCCAGTCCCCTAATCATCTCTGTTGCTCTTCTCTGCACTCTTTCTAGAGTCTCCACATCTTTTTTACATCGTGGCGACCAAAACTGAATGAAAACATAATACAGGAGAAGATTTCATTTTTTGTACCTTATCGAGAGTTATCTCAAAGATATTTTTTTTTTCGCGCCGAAAAGGTGACTGGATTGATTCTTTTGACGAAGAAGAAAGAAGAAAATTTTTACGTCCCATCCAGGGAGCTTCATCGGTTGAACTGGTGGTGGGAGAGATGGAAGGATAGGTTCTGACAGGATGATTGGATGTGTGTGCGTCCGTGGAAAGGAAGGAATTGTTTTTTCTTTGCAGTCATCTGGTCGTTAGCACTCTCTCTGAGAGCTCTTGAAGGCTTCTTGGGGTTTTCACCTGAACCAGAAAAAACAATCCTTCCATTCCCATTTCATTCCACCCACCCACCCACCCACCCTCCTGTCAGAACCTATCCTTCCATCCCCCCCACAATCAGATACTCTCAACTGTCAGTACCTGTCCTTTCCATCCATACCCCCCACCATCAGTAGAACTGATGAAGCTTCCTGGATGGGAAGCGAAACCTCTTTTTCTTCTTCTTCCTCAAAAAAAAACATCATTCCAGTTGTTTTTTCAAACAAGAAAAAAGAAAAAAAAACCACTTTTGAGACAACTATGTTCTCCAAGTCTGATGACCGAGGCTCATCATAGACACTTATCAAGAGATGTAGCTATTTAATTTCCTTCCTTCCTTCCTTCCTTCCTTCCTTCCTTCCTTCCTTCCTTCCTTCCTTCCTCCCTCCCCTCCCTCCCTCTTTCTTTCCTTCCTTCTTTCTTTCTTTCTTTCTTTCTTTCTTTCTTTCTTTCTTTCTTTCTTTCTTTCTTTCTACATACATACATACATACATACATACATACATACATACATACATACAGGTACTTCTTGACTTACAGCAGTTAGTTTAGTGACTGAAGTTATAAGTTCACTGAAAAAAAAGACTCTTATGACCATTTTTCACACGTAGGACCGTTGTCGCATTTATATAGATAATACGAAGTTAAATGAGGGATAAGGTAAAAAAAACAGAAACTCAGATGACACCAGAGTAAATGGAAAAGGGGGTGGGAGGGGGGGAAGAAAGAAGATTATAAATATAAACGTACAATTATGAAATGATAGATTAGGTAAAATGGGAAAGAAATTGAAAAGAAAGTATATATTAGTAGAAAATTGAAGTTGCTCGGATACCAAATAAGGGAAAGATTGCACAACAAAGGAGAAAAAAAGGAAAGAGAAGGAGAGGGAGAGAGAGGAATGGAAGAAAGGGGAAGGAGAGGAAGAAAGGATAGGGGACAAGAGCAGGAGAGAAGGTGAGAAAGGAGGGAGGAGTGGGGGAGAGGAAGGGGAAGTAGGGGAGTAGAAGAGAGAAGGAGGAAGAAAATAGAAGAGGGAGGGAGGGGAAAGGAAAGAAGAAGGAGAAGGTTTGTTGTGAAAAGAGAAAAAAGAGAGGGTAGAAGAGCAATCCCAAATGTAATTAAAAGGTCTTATTTTTATGCTTTCGTTAGAAAAAATATGTAAATATATGACCAATTATGGATAAAAGAATGTACATGTACATTATGTGTATAAGAAATAAAAATAAAAATCTTTTTTCAAAAAAACAAAATCACATCCCCTGCGTGATTTACATTTGATTGCTTGACAGATGTCTCACACTTATGACGGTGGCAGTGTCCCGGAGTCACGTGATCCCCTTTTGAGACCTTCTTGTCAAAGTCAATGGGGAAGCTGGATTTGCTTAACAACCGTGTCACTCATTGAAGACGCGCGATGATTCCTTTAACAACGGGAGTGGCGGGAAAAGTCGTAAAATGAGGCAAAACTCACTTAACGACGGTCTTGCTTAGCAGCAGGCATTTTGGGCTCAATTGTGGGCCGAAGTCGAGGACTATTTCGAAAAGGGAGAGTCGGTGGGAAATGGTAGTGGAATAGTGGGGATTATGGCCCATGGCATTCACAAAACTGTTGTTAAGTGTGAGGCAACCTTTGCAGTAGTGATCTACGAGAGGCATAGAAACAGATTCAGGTTTTACCTCCTAATGTTGCTGTTCTGTATAGTCCCATCGCAAGAGAGGAATAATTGTCTCTGGATAGTATAAAAACTTAATTCCTAGCAATCACATTCTATAAATATTTCCTAAAAACTTTCCAGCACAGGCAGGCAGCATTTACGACTTGGCCTGTTTCTATTTATCTCCAATCCAAACAGACTTTTCTTCCTGTCTATGGGGCATTGCAGTCATCTGCCTGTATAAAAAAATAATAATAATAATCCTGGAATTTGTTGTTTATTTGCATGTCTGATTTTTAGGTACAATATTTTTATTTGCAATCATTCTGGAATAAGAGAGCCGTGGGCTCGATCGTCTTCTTTGCAATATCCTTTTCGGTGTTTGAAAGGGATAGTTATATCCCCCTCAATTTTCTCCACTTTAATCACTTTTCATAGGATTTAAATTTCCATTTTCCTGACGCTTCTCATTCTCTCTGCCTCCTTCTCCTAACGTGGGCAGGCTATCAGATTTAAGCATGGTGGGACCACTGCAGAATCATATACAGCAAATTACTTCCTGTATTTTGGAAGCTAAACTTCAGATTTAGAAACAGAACATAGAATATAGGTCAGTCATGGCAAACTTATGACACACGTGCCCAAAGTGGCACAGAGAGCCATGTCGCTTGGCACACACTGTTCTGCCCCAGCTACGGACCTCAAAGAACCCAGCACACACAAAATCTGTACAAAACTTAATGATCCCAATTTCCACACAAAGCCCGTTAATAAACTTTCTACAAGAAACCAAAGATAAAGTAATCACAATCTTACTATGGTTGCCAGAAAGCCCAGAAGCAATTTACAGAGAATCCAGACGTGAAGGAGAGTGAACTAAAGTTGTTCCCTACAGCTTGCTGCAATCAGCGTTCCTCCTTAAATAGGCTAAGGGAGTGACCAATTAGCCCCAAGCCTTACTCTCGAGGAGACCTCCTCCTGAGGAGCCACTCCTGCCTTTTGGCATTTCTGCACACCCGTGCATCAAGAAGAAGCTCCTCCTCTTCGTCCTCTTCACTTTGAGGAGCTTCTGGAGGTTCTGAAGGCCCTGGCTGAATCCCCACCTCTGACACCACATCTTCTCCAGCCTTCTCATTGTCTGACTCGACTGCCAGCTGCACAGGCTGCTGGCGCAGCACCACACCAGCCTCCTCATTGTCAGAATCAGTTACAATCTGCACAGGCCGCTGATGGGCCACAACACACATGGCATCACCCATTCCTCTTCCGGGTTTCTGGCATGCATTCGTGTGCGACAATCAGCTGGCCTTTGTGCTTGCATCAGTGCCGGAAATCGGAAGAGTTGGTCTTCCATTTTCCGGCATGACCATGTGCACTGGCCAGCTGATCGGCGCATGCGTGGCAGTAACCTAAAGACTTGCCAGCAGTAATCTGAAGAAACCGCAAGTGTTTCCGGCATGTGCACGCCTCTGGGCAACTCCTATTCCTGATCTCAGCCCAGACAAGCACACATGAAGTGCTCCCTTTTCAGCACTCAGTGATATAGGTAGTCCTTGTTTTACAATCATTAATTTAGTGAATTGTTGGAAGAGAAATCCGGTCCAGTTCGAAGCCGGGAGAAAGACGCTGGAAATAAAATGGAGGCTGGCTGCAGGAAAGAAGGTCTGTCTTTATTTGGGTGCTAGAAACTTCAGTGACAGCAGCATGTTTCTGCGGTAGCTGACAAAATAGGGTTGAGAGTAGATAGGCTTTTATACATTCTTTGGGGCTTTGTGATTGAGATGCCTGTTCCCGTGTCCTTTAATATTTTAATGGCTGTTGCCACATTCCTATAGGGTCATGTAGGGGTCATGGCTGGCTCTACAGGCAAAAGGGGAAAGGCAAATCCTAGGTGTTTGTCTGAGCTAATCTTGTCAGCTTTGGCTAGTCTAATTGTGCTGCTTATTTGGAGTCTCTTTGCTTATGAATAGATTGGCCCAGTCTTTCTGAATGGATACAAAATCTGCATTTCTAAAGACCACCCCCTTCAAGCTTCTGCTTGAGGCTGTTTTCCTATGGCAGGAAGACTGGGGCTGATTTCTGACTTTGATTTTTCCTCCTCTTCTCCTTTACGGGAAATATTCCATCCTGCCTCTTTTTAATATTAAGAATAAAGAATATTTTAATCTGGGGAGTGGAGGCCTTCCTACACACTCTTCAAAGTTGCAACGGCATTGAAAAAAGTGACTTATAACTATGTTTCACACTTATGACCATTCCGACATCCCCATGGTCACATGATTAAAATTCAAGCCTTTGGCAACTGACTCATATTTATGACCGTTGCAGCATCTTGGGGTGATGTGATCACCAAATGTAACCTTCCCAGTCGGCTTCCGACGAAGTCAATGGAGAAATCCAGATTCACTCAACAACTGCGGCAAAAATGGTTTTTGTGTGTGCTGCGTTCTTTGGGGTCCGTAGTTGTGGCAGAACAGATTGCAGTGCTCCAACCTTCTGATAAGAAAGTCAACGGGGGAAGTCGGATTCACTTAACAACCATGTTACTAACTTCAGTGATCCACTTAACAACAGTGGCAAGAAAGGTCGTAAGAGGGGGCGAAATTCACTTCACAAATGTCTCACTTTAGCAACAGACATTGTGGTTGTAAGTTGAAGACCAGCTGTGTTCCCGGTTTGCAGTTTCGTTTGTCTTGAAATTCTCGTCAATGGCTGCCCTTTTCTCTTCCAGGCGCCAGGCCAAAGTGGGCCCAAGCAAACAGCATGAGCAACCTGGAGCTCCTGAGGTTCCCTTCTGAAAAGGTAAATAGCAATCAAAATTGGTTGTGAAAAAGACCATCATTCTTGTCGTTCTAATACAACCTGCAGTGGTTGACTACCGGTAGTATGTTACTACTGGTTTGCCGCATGCACACCCGCTTTGTGCACACGCGTGCCCCGGTTCGTGCATGCACCTGCCTTGCACACATGTGTCCGGCCTTCCGTGCATGCCCTTTGCTCGCGCGAGCACCTGTGGCTAAATAGGATGGCATAGAGGTGGACTTTAGCTCCCAGAATTCTCCAGTCTGGCCTTTGCTGAGTATCTTGGGAGTTAAATGATTGTCTTCCAGATAGAGCAGTGTTTCTCAACCTTGGTAGCTTGAAGATGGGTGGACTTCAATTCCCAGAATCCCCCAGCCAGCAGCGCTGGCTGGGGGATTCTGGGAGTTGAAGTCCACCCATCTTCAAGCTTCCAAGGTTGAGAAACACTGGGATAGAGAGACTTCAATTCCCAGAGTTCTCCAGTCTGAACCTTGCTGAGAATTCTGGGAATCGAAAAAAAAATGTCCTCCAGATAGACAGACTTCAATTCCCAGAATTCTCCAGCCTGGCAATCACTGAGATTCTGAGAACCGAAATATATCCTCCAGATAAGACGGACTGACATTCCCAGAATCCCCCACAACACATTTTGGCTGCTCCTGAGAATCATGGAGCGAAGTTTGAACATTTGGGGAGCGTCCAACATTTGGAGAAGGCTGCCCTAAAAGCTGAGGCATCAATTCGGAGCAAACTGCAGGGATGACAGAGTTCCTTCAGCAGTTATGGCTAGAATCCTAGGAACTAAGCAAGAGAAGGAGTGAATGGCCACAGACCATGGTTTGTTGTTGCTTGCTTTGTCTTTGGTGAAGGTTAGGAGCTAATTTCTTTCAACCCTGCTCCAGCACATTTATTTATAACTACAGTACAACTTGTACTCCTTTTTCCTTCTTGCATTCTGTTGTTCTGGGAGGAAGAAGTCAAGACCAGCTTTGATGTCATCTTAAACCTAGACACCGAGTGGGCATCCAGACCACTCCCGGATCCATGCAGGAATCCAAATTCTAGCATCCCAAACAGGGGTGAAATCCAGCAGGTTCTGACAGGTTCTGGAGAACCGGTAACGGAAATTTTGAGCAGTTTGGAGAACTGGCAAATACCACCTCTGGCTGGTCCCAGAGTGGGGAAGGAATGGGGATTTTGAGTATCCTTCCCTCAGGAGTGGAGAGGGAATGGGGATTTTGCAGTATCCTTCCCTCAGGAGTGGAGAGGGAATGGGGATTTTGCAGTATCCTTCCCTCAGGAGTGAGGTGGGAATGGAGATTTTGCAATATCCTTCCCCAGAAGTGGAGAGGGAATGGGGATTTTGCAGTATCCTTCCCCAGGAGTGGGGTGGGAATGGGAATTTTGCAATATTCTTCCCCAGGAGTGGAGAGGGAATGGAGATTTTGCAGTATCCTTCCCTCAGGAGTGAAGAGGGAATGGGGATTTTGCATTATCCTTCCCCAGGAGTGGGGAGGAAATGGGGATTATGTAGCATCCTTCCCCACGAGTGGGGTGGGAATGGAGATTTTGCAATATCCTTCCCCAGGAGTGGGGTGGGAATGGAGATTTTGCAATATCCTTCCCTAGAAGTGGGGAGGGAATGGGGATTTTGCAGTATCCTTCCCTCAGGAGTGGGGTGGGAATGGAGATTTTGCAATATCCTTCCCCAGGAGTGGAGAGGGAATAGGGATTTTGCAGTATCCTTCCCCAGGAGTGGGGTGGGGAATGGGAATTTTGCAATATTCTTCCCCAGGAGTGGAGAGGGAATAGGGATTTTGCAGTATCCTTCCCCTGGAGTGGGGTGGGAATGGAGATTTTGCCACGCCCATCAAGCCACGCCCACAGAACTGGTAATAATATAATTTGGATTTCACCACTGATCCCACACCTCGTACAAAGCCAAGACCTTATCAGGATATTGCTATGGCCTTCCTCTTTGTCTTAAAAACCTGAGTATATGGCTGAACAGAGCTGCAAAGAAGTCAGTGGAATTATTTTGTGGTAGGGATGGATAGAAATGCGCATCTTTGGCCATAATTTGAAGCATAAAGGTAAAGGTTCCCCTCGCACATACGTGCTAGTCGTTCCTGACTCTAGGGGGCAGTGCTCATCTCCGTTTCAAAGCCGAAGAGCCAGCGCTGTCCGAAGACGTCTCGGTGGTCATGTGGCATGACTCAAGGCCAAAGGCGCACGGAACGCTGTTCCCTTCCCACCAAAAGTGGTCCTTATTTTTTCTACTTGCATTTTTTACGTGCTTTCGAGCTGCTAGGTTGGCAGAAGCTGGGACAAGTCACGGGAGCTCACCCCATTACGCGGCACTAGGGATTCGAACCGCCGAACTGCCCACCTTTCTGATCGACAAGCTCAGCGTTTTAGCCACTGAGACACCGCGTCCCTCCAATTTGAAGCATAGTCTCTTTTTCCAAGAACATCATCCTGTATTAACATTACTTGCATTTTATGGTTATCCAAGCATTTGATTTTATTTTACCTACATGTTGCATTTTATATTATTCACATTTCCTTGGAAATGGCCAAGCAATATTTATTTATTTATTTATTTATTTATTTATTTATTTATTTATTTATTTATTTATTTATTTATTTATTTATTTATTTAACTTGTATGCCGCCCTATCTCCGAAGGACAATAAAAACAAGCAAAATCAATGTTAAAAATACCCAATAAGATTATAAAAAGACCATTAAAATCCCTTTTAAAACCCCCTTCAGTCCAAACCAGCCAGGCGAAATAACCATGTTTTAAGGTCACGGCGGAAAGAGTGAAGGTCAGGGGCCACCCGGAGCTCCAGGGGGAGCTGATTCCACAGGGTAGGTGCACCCACAGAGAAGGCCCGCTCCCTAGGGGTCGCCAGCCGACATTGTCTGGCCGACGGCACCCCAAGGAGGCCCTCCCTGTGAGAACGCACCTGGCGATGGGGAGCTGTCGCTGGCCGCAGATGGTTCGCCAAATACCCCGGGCCTAAGCCATGTAGGGCTTTATAGGTAATTACCAGCACCTTGAATCTCACACAGAGGGCAACCGGTAGCCAATGCAGGTCCCGCAGGAGAGGTGTAACATGTGAGTGTCAGGACACTCCTATTACTACCCGCGTGGCTGCATTCTGCATCAGCTGAAGCCTCTGAGTGGGCAGCCCCATGTAGAGAGCATTGCAGTAGTCGATCCGGGAGGTGACGAGAGCATGGGTGACTGTGCGTAGGGCATCATGGTCCAGGTAGGGGCGCAACTGGCGCACCAGACGAATCTGGGCAAATGTGACAATTGCCAGCAAAATCCCACTATTTTTTGCTGGCAAGCAAGGAACAAGATATGTCTTTGCACTGTCTGACCAGAGTCCTGACACAAATCCCACAGCAGTGTCACAAAACACAAACATGTAAAGGAGAAGTGAGGCCTTCCTGGAGAAACCTCTGCTCTGGGGAAAATTGTCCATAATTTTCTTTTTTTATATTTTTTCCAGGATCAGAATGGAGAGACCCTTCACTTAGGAGACCTTGGAATAACTGGGAAAGATTCCTTGCCTTCCTCTGCTAGCTCCCATAAATATCGGCAAAACCCGTCGTTGTTGGAGGGTTACGGTGAATCTCCTCTGGAAGCCAGTGACGTCCAAGTCCAGTTATCCCAGCTGGTAAGAAGGAAAGTGGCCAAATGTTTTCCTCATGACAATCAGTGCTTTATTTTCAGGGATTCTTCTGACTGCCTACATACCAGTGTTTCTCCAAAAATAAGACCAGGTCTTATATTAATTTTTGCTCCAAAAGCCGCGTTAGGGCTTATTTAGAATATAATTTTAGAATAGAATAGAGCTGGAATACACACACACCAGTGGTGGGTTCCTCCCGGTTTGGCCCGGTTTGGCCGAGCCAGTAGCGGTGACGATATAACGTCACCGAACTGGTTCTGCCCCCCAGGCGCCCATGCCCCTCCCCACCCCCCACGTTATTCGTACCTTTTATTTGTCCCCATCCCCAATCTATTGGGGTCCCGGGTCCCGGCTAGAAGGAAAAAACTGTTTAAACTCTTGCCGCAGGGCTTCAAAGGGCCGCCCTACAGCTGATCAGTGTTAAAAGGCAGTGTGGTGGTAGACCGGTGCCTCCAAAAACAAATGAGTAGACCAGTGCCTGCAAAAACAAATGAGTAGACCAGTGCCTGCAAAAATAAATGGGTAGACCAGTGCTTCCAAAAGCAAATGAGTAGACCGGTACAGCTCTGCAAGTAGTTAAAAATCCTGGTAGACCAGTACCTCTGCTAAATCCTAAAGAATTGTCACATGACCATCAAGCCACACCCACAAAATAAGCCATGCTCACAGAACTGGTACTAAAAAATTTTAGAACCCACCCCTGTGTCACACACATATATATCAGTGGTGAAATCTGAACCAGCTTGTTACCGGTTTGCTGGCCGCGCATGCACATTATGCACCAAAAGGAGGCTTGGGAAGGTAAGTAGAACAGTGAGGGAGAGGAATCAGCTGTGGCACATGATCTTGGGAACCTTTTTTTTTTACTTTTTAAAGGCATAATTTACGACTGGTTCGGGCGAATAGGTAGTTAAAAAATGCTTTAAAAAAGTATATAAAAAAAGGTTCCGACGATCACAGCTGTGCTGCGCGATCGTCAAAAGTTTTTAAAAGCATTTTTTAACTACGTATTCACCCGAACCGGTAGTAAAAAAAAATGCTTTAAAAAAGTACAAAAAAAAGGTTCTGACGATCAGCTGAGCGATGCGTGACCGATCTGTTTTTTTACATTTTTTTACTACTGGTTTGGATGAACCGGACCGAACCGGTAGCATTTCACCCTGATATATATGTGTATATGCACACCCACACACCCATACAGAGTATGTCACAGAAGTGAGTACACCCCCTCACATTTTGTAAATATTTAAATATATCTTTTCATGTGACAACACTGAAGAAATGACACTTGGCTACAATGTAAAGTAGTGAGTACACAGCTTGTATAACAGTGTAAATGTGCTGCCCCCCTCATAATAACACAATGCTTCATATCTAAACTGCTGGCAACAAAAGTGAGTACACACCCCTAAGTGATAATGTCCAAATGGGGCCCAAGTTGCCGTTTTCCCTCCCTGGTGTCATGTGACACGTTAGTGGTACAAGGTCTCAGGTGTGAAGGGGGAGCAGATGTGCTAAATTTGGTGTTATCGCTCTCAATCTCTCACACTGGTGACTGGAAATTCAACATGCGCTTCATGGCAATGAACTCTCTTGAGGAGCTGAAAAAACGAATTGTTGCTCTACAGAAAGATGGCCTAGGCCAGTGATGGCTCAGGGAGCTCAGGGGGGGACACGGATGTGTGTGCCATAATTCAATTCAACAATCCGTTCCCCCCACTTTTGGCACAGTGAGCCCAGTAGGCCTGTTTTTCGCCCTCCCCAGGCTCCAGAGGCTTTCTAGGAACCTGGGGAGGGCGAAAACAGCCTTCCCCACCCACTCCCGGAGGCCCTCTCGAGGCCGGAAACAGCCTGTTTCCTGACTTCCGGTGGGCTCGGAAGGTCTGAAAATTAGATGACCGGCGCTCACATTCGCGCTGGAGCTAAACTAGGGCAATGCTCACATACGGGGGTGCAGTGCGCCCCCCCCGTGGCCTGTTTGTGGTCTCAGGTGGCTGCAGGGAGGCCTGCTAGGCCCAAAATGGGGTGCAGGGGGGGGTCGCAGGCACAGGGGAAGCGCAGGGGGTCGCGCACGCATGCGTGGAGAGTGTAGGGGGTTGCACGCACATGCGCAGGAGGTTGGGGCACTCAGGGGGGCATCGCGCACACAATGCATTACAGTGCCAGCACATGTGTGTGAATGCTGTCGTGCGGACACACACGCTTTCAACACGCAACGACAAAAAGGTTAGCTATTACTGGCCTAGACTATAAGGAGATTGCGGAGACCCTGAAACTGAGCTGCAGCACGGTGGCCAAGACCATACAGCGGTTTAAGAGGACAGGTTCCACTCAGAACAGGCCTCAACATGGTCGACCCAAGATCTTGAGGGCCCGTGTTCAGCGTCATATCCAGAAGTTGGCTTTGGGAAATAGACATATGAGTGCTGCTAGCATTGCTGCAGAGGTTGAAGGGGTGCCATGGAGGTTAGCCTGTCAGTGCTCAGACCAGGGGTGAAATGCTCCCAGTTCAGACCGGGTTGTCCGATCTGGTAGCGATGTCGGTGGGTGGTTCGGAAAACCGGTAGCAAAAATCCCTGTGCCCCCCGCCCCCCATGCCCAGCTGAGCCGCGCGATCATCAGAGGCTTTTTTTTTTTAACTTTTAAAAGCATTTTTTCTACAACCTCTTCGGCCGAAAAAATGCTTTTAAAAGTAAAAATAAAAAGCCTCTGATGATCACGCAGCTCAGCTGGGATCGTCAGAGGCTTTTAAAAGCACTTTTTCTACAACCAAGAGATTGTAGAAAAAATGCTTTTAAAAGCTGAATTGCCTGATTGTCAGAGGCTTTTAAGAGCATTTTTTTCTGCAACCTCTTAAGGTTGTAGAAAAAATGCTTTTAAAAGTTAAAAATAAAAAGTTGGCCACGCCCACTCAGTTACATTACCCCCACCACTAAGCCACGCCCACAGAACCGGTAGTAACAAATCTTAGATTTTACCCCGGCTCAGACCATATGCATCAAATTGGCAAAAGGGCATTTTATAGAACAAAAAGTTCAAAAGTTTTTCTTTCCAGGTTTCGGAGCACCCCCAAAAAGCGGGAAGCCTTTTCAAACTGCTTCCTTGCATTTCAAAAGTCATTTTCAAGTGAAGAGCTTATTTCCCCCCATCTTTTTTTTAATCTTTATTTAGAAATACAGTTCCTTCAGTATTTTTCTTGGTTGTAGGCTAAAACCTGTTTGCACTAATTAAAACTTGTACGGGGGAATTAACACAGTGCTAAAACGACACGAAGCTTTTAAGAAGCGGTGTGTAGATCTCAACAGATGAGTTCTATCTTTGGCCTTGAGCGAAAGGCGTTTTCGTTCGGAGCCCAGGATTAGAAAGCCTCAAAAACGAGCAGCGGCTGAATAAATGAACATAGAATGAAGACAAAAAGGCACGGAGAGCGGTACATAAAACTGGGTGAACAGGCTATTTCCATATGCATGGGAAAGAGAGATAAATTCTGCAAGCCAGAAAATGCAAAGTTGCCCTAATCACCAAAATTCACCTTTTCTGAGTCTTTTGATTCTTAGCACGCAGAAAGTATAGATGTATAATTCCTAATGCGGTTACGTTGATGCTAACCTGATTGTTGGCCAATGTCTCCAAGGCAAGGCCATTTATAGGCACTGGATGGACGGGGACAGCCAGATGCATGTTGGCTGATGAATTCCAGACCTGTACAGCTTCATCTGTTTGGATTCTGAGCCATTTTTTACGTCCTGTTAGCACTAAACTGGCATTAAGATCGGGAGCCTTACTTTGCAAGGAGAAAAAAAATAACATAATAAAACCTTGTAGGAAGTAAAATGGCCAGGTCTATTTTTTTCTTTTTCTTTTTGGAGCTTACAGGGTCTGCTGTGCATCTGAGACACTGAGAATGACAACAATTTTCTTCATTAATTAAACCCAGTGGACGCCATGATTCTCCTTGGGTTAAATAATTGTCCGGATCTCCTGCTCTAGTCACTGTAAAATAAAGATTTAGTCCCACCAGGTCCAGCAAAGGAAGAAAGAGCGAGCAAGGAAGGAAGCCCATATCCTGAGTGGAAAGCATAAATAGCTATGAGGAGTCCTTGGTGCTCTCTGAGCTGGGGATTGTTTCCTTGCAGATGGTTCATTATGTTTCATTAGCACGCAAATGATGTTACCTAATTTGGGTAGTGAAACATTTGCAGGGAAACAACCAAGCTAGGAGAGCACCAAGGATTTAAAACAGTGGTGGTTTGCTCCTGGTTCACACCGGTTCGCCAGAACCTGTAGTAAAAATTTGTACTAGTTCAGAGAACCGGAGCACCCTGTTATTAAGACCAGCTGCCTGCAATTACTGCAGGTTCGAATCTCGCCAAGGCTCAAGGTTGACTCAGCCTTCCATCCTTTCTAAGGTAGGTAAATTGAGGACCCAGTTTGTGGGGGCAATAAGCTGACTTTGTATAAATATACAAAAGGATGAAGGCTATTGCTTAGCGCATTGTAAGCCACCCTGAGAAGGGCGGCATATAAATCAAATTAAAAAAAAAACGGTAATAACATTGGCTGGCCACGCCCCTGAACCGGTCCCCGACCCAGTCGCCGCTCACTTACCTCGCCCACCTCATGAGAGGCTCTTTTTTTTTACTTTTAAAAGCATTTTTTCTATAACCTTTTTGGCTGAAAAAATGCTTTTAAAATAAAAAAAAAGCCTCTGATGATCGCGCGGCTCAGCTGGGATCATCAGAGGCTTTTAAAAGCATTTTTTTCTGCAACCTCTTTGGCCGAAGAGGTTGTAGGGGAAAAAATGCCTTTAAAAGCCTCTGGCGATCCCAGCTGAGTTGCCTGATCTTCAGAGGCTTCTAAAAGCATTTTTTTTCCTGCAACCACTTAAGATTGTAGAAAAAATGTTTTTAAAAGTTTTTTTTTAAAGTTGGCCACGCCCACCCAGTCACATTACCCACCACCATCAAGCCACGCCCACAAAATAA